TATGGCTCAGTAAGCAGTGATCTGGGGTGTCTGTAAGCAGCAGTGGGGAACAAGGGGGACAGTCAGGAAAAGCTGGAACTGATTCAGTGCCGCTGGTCCTTTAAGTAATGCCTTTGTTCTCTCATAGCAGTTCCATCACTGCCACAGACTAAGCCAGCCAGGAAGAGCTCCTCAGGCGAGAACGGAGAGCTGCTGGTGGTAAGCTGCACGTCTCCTCCGGGACCCTGAGGGAGCCTTCTGAGAAGGGACTATGTCGCTACACAGCTCTTCCTTCTGGAGGAAATAGGCAGAGGGCTGAGCGTCTCCAGAGGGACTCAGACGCAGCCACCACTGGCATTAGAATAAGGCTGGCAGGGCCTCAGAGGTGTGTGTAAAGCAGAGTAAATAGTGAAGCAGTGAGCTGGCCTCCCAGTCCAGTGGCCAGCCAGTGGAGTGTAGGACCCTGGCCAGCAGGGCCTGGGAATGCTGGGAGTCCAGCCCCTGAAGAGGAGACAATCCAGGCCAGAATGATACACAACACAGCCCGAGAGCAGTTCCAAGACTAGACGGAACTGGGCTCAAGTCCTGGTTAATTGGTGCCATCCTAGTTCTTTGACAACCACAAAAACACGCCTTGCTTTGCTTTGCTTGGCCTCTCTGCCCAGGACACAGTGGCCCAGGACTAGGATAGTGCAGCAAGTGTGGACGGAAGCTTATTCCCAAACTTCTATGGGGATAATTGAAACCTGCCTCATGGATCAATTGCTGATTACTTCCTCCCACCCATGCAAAACCTTAGTAAATGGGACCAATCCTATTGCCTGCAGTGGTTGTGTGGCCCCTACAGGACTCCTTGGCAGGGCTTTTGGACAGTGGATTTGCATGGTTTGCAAATCTACTGGCCATGTATCTACTACAGCCTTGGAGAGAGTTGCCAGAAAGCCATTCTGTGCAACACAGAGTCCTGCCTCCACTTCGTCCAGTGTAGCAGAATTGCACCTGTATCATTACATTTTGGACTTTGCTTACAGGTATTGGAGGGGGTGGCAGGATGTAGCCCGATGCCTGTCCAGACTATGCCCAAGAATGTGTGTTCTGCAGTGTTACTGTTGCCCAGGTTGGATCACATGTTCGATCACTTCATGTTGTCTTTAAGTCTCTGGCCCTAGCCCATGGAGTGGTGCTTGGCTGCTTTTGAGCTGGAGCTGAGGGGAGTGCTGCTCACAGTGTTTTGTGATCCCAGCAGGAAGAAGACCGCTACAAACTGATGCTGAACAGGATCGACAGTGTGAATATTGCCAGTAACTATTTCTGGTCCAAGTGAGCCAACCAGATCCTCAGTGCTGATCCTACAAAGAGTCTTCATAAATATCTGACACTCCTCCTTTCCTTTTGTCCATTTGCCTGTATCTCCTCCAGTGGGGTGCCATTCCATCTGCCAAGCTCAGCACCTCTCATACCCCCTTAAGATGGTTGAAGGATATGAAAGACACAAACAGCCGGCTGATGCGCTGATCTCTCCAGCCCTACGCATTCCAAGTTCAGGATAGGACAGGCAAAGCTCCCCAGAACACTGACTTTCTCCAGGGAACACGGGGGAGCAATGCGATGGCCCCAGGTCTTCTGGCTCCATCTTGGGGGGAGGGTTTGTGATTGGGTGCACAAACCCCACCCTGAGCAACAAGGGGCTAAGGAAATACTCTGGCCTAGCCAGCCCCGCCGCATCTGTGGCGAATGCACCAACATGAGGAGGGGGTAAAAGGCAGGGGAGCAGCTCATTTTGTGGCAGACCAGGGAGGAGAGCAGACAGGCTTCCGGCAGCTCCAGGAGAGACGAGCTGAGGGAAGTCAGAATCTCCCCCTAAACAACTGTCCAAAGGTCCCTCCCTGAGGAAAGGGGAGGCTTGCTGCAGGGACAGCCTGAGAGAGAAGCACTCCCCTCTCCCTGTCATATGAACTCTAGCCTTGATTGATCCCCTTGATTTGCTGTTTGGACACCCCAGCAGGGGAAAGTCCTTGGACTGAGCTGGCCTCGGGAGACTGGGCCATACCCCAGGAGGAGGCAGTTGCCACCCAAGAGGAAAGGAGAATGACCTCACTACATGCAGCCGCCAGACGGTGCCTTGGGGTGAGCAGACAACCCTCACGCTGCTTTACCCCAGACAGTGACCTTGGGACAGTTGCAGGGAGGTGGTAGGAAGTGGCCTTAAGCATCCTGAGCTGTCAGAGCACTGATAGCCATACAGAGCTGGCTCCAGTTTTTTTGCTGCCCCAAGCACACACAAAAAAAAAGGGGGGGGGGCAGGGCGCCGGAATGCCACCCCTTGAAAAGGGCCACCCCAAGCACGTGCTTGGGAGGCTGGTGCCTAGAGTCGGCCCTGTAGCCATAGATGCCAACCCCATGGGTGCTCAGCATGCACCAGCCACAGTGGTTCAGGCCTGGGCTGGCCGCTGATCAGCTGTTTGGCGGGCCCTGGTGCTGGCCGCTGACTGGCTAGCAGGAGGTGCTCGGGGGAGGGGTGGAGCAGGGGTGAGAAGAGGCGGAGCGAGGGCGTGGCCTCGGGCGAATGGGGCGGGGCCTTGGGGCAGAGCGGGAGTGGAGCACCCACCGGGAAAAAAAAAAAAAAAGGCAGACCCCCCGCTGAGAGCCCACCAAGGGCCCTGGGTCAGAGCCCAGTGGAGTAAGAGGGCCCTGGATCCCCTCTGAATGTGTCAGCCCTAAGCCCTGACCACTAGGTGGCGCTCCCCTCCCAACCAACCCTGAGTGAAGGCCGTCACATTCTCCCACGAGGATTGCCACTGATCCCAGGTTTTCAAGGAATAAAGCACCATGGGCTGGAGGTTCAGCAGAAGCAGTGCCCTTAGCCTGTGTATCACTCAGTGGCACCCGTGATTCCTTAATGGACACCAGTCCCCTGTGACCCATGGGGGCCTTCATGGGCAGTGTCCGCAAAGATTGCAGCGGCCTTCCTTGGCAGTTACCCTCTTAACGATGTAGCATTTGGCGGCAGCAATCCTCTTATCACAGCGGCTTTTGGAAGGGACAGTTTGACTTTCCTTTGAGTTTAGGGTCAGTGGAGACAAATGCTGCTTCCGGGGGTTTTGAAGTCTGTAATGACAACTCCAGGTTCAAGCTGGGGCTGGCACATTCCTCCGTTACCTGCTTCCCTGCCACATGTGTGCAGCCAGCACCATATATTTAGTCTTCCATTCTGGTCACTGCCATGCCCAGCAGGTGGTGGGAACGCAAACCTCTGTACTTGCACTAAAATCTTTAGGTGATGTGAGGCAATTCCTCAGAAAAAGCCTTAAAATCACTTTCCGTATTTCCCAATGCAAGTTTCCTAGACAGCGCTTACTTATTTCCTTTTGGATGTCACAGCCACAACTTGAACTCATGCCCCATACAGAATTCTCCAGTCTTATTCCTCATTGCAATAAGACAGTGAGAGGTTCTGCCAGTATCACAACCATATCACAGCCATTTCTGCTTTCTCTTCTCTTGAGAAAGAGTCTGAAACTGACATCATATATGAGACACAAACTCAGTTCTCCAAGGAAATACAGTTTGCACATTTATTCCCTGACTCCTCTAGATCAGATCAGAAACTGCAGTTCAGTGAGACAGTGGAAATGATAGCTCCTGTCCTTGTGTTCAAGATGTTAGAGTTTTGTACACTGTATGTTGACTGTTTATATTGTAGTCATTTATCTTATGTGCAGGACATCTGGTTAATGATCATAATACATTGCCTTTTAATGACAAACTCAGTCTGATTGCTGTTATATTTACAGTTCACGTTCCTTTGCATTTTTGCCAGATGTTGCATACATTGGCTACTATCCCTGTAGCTGCAAAGGACTGGGTCGGGAGTGTCTTGCCCATCAGTTTTTGCTTCATAATCAGCAAAAGACACTGCCTACCCTAGCTGTCCTAGACAGTGAGAGGTGACCCAAATGGCAGGGCATAGCTCGAAGAAGAGGAAAGGAACACATGCTGCAGCATGGGTACGAGTAGTGGCAGGGGAAGTAAGCCCCTGGTGTTGGCAGATAGAGCACAGTTTACAGCCCTGCTAGGACAGTACCAGTGTTGCCTACTCTCATGATTTTATTGCAAATCTTGCAATATCTGGTGCTTTCCATAAAGCTCCTGGAGTCATGTGATTACATGGGACTCAGCTTTATTTTAACAAGTAAGTTTCTAACCTTCACAGTGGCAGCAGTATTGCTAAACCCAGATGCTCAAAAATCATGAGGTTGGCTTTCATAGCAGGCAATTATGTAAAAATAATATTTTCTTTTTATTGGCTTTCTGCTTTTTGAACCTTTAGGTCCACTGGGGTCACAGTGAAGCTTCCTCCACAGCCATGAGGAATAGAAACTTACTTTTAAGAATGAAGGGTGAAATCATCACATAGCCACTTGACTCCAGGAGCTGGGGCTTTAAGGAAAACAGTAATTATCATGAGACTTGTGTCAAAATCATGAGAGTTGGCAACAGCGACAGTAAAAACATGCCAATGGGATTCCTGAAGGGCAGGGGCTGCAGAAGACAGAGACCCAACGTTATTTTTTTTTAACTATCTTGCTTGGCATGCTTGGGAGTGGCTACTGCAGTAAGCCTGGGGCAGGAAGGAAACCAGGCAAGGAAAGGAGGAGGCGCACTGCGCATGCCCAGCAGCAGCAACATCCACAGCACCCGGGTGCAGATGCAGCCCGGCCTGGCCTGGGACCGCTGCCACCCCTTTGATGGGCCGCAGGGGGCGCTGGCTCGGAGGCGGTTTTAGCGCGCATGGGCGGGGCTCAGGGCGCCCCCTGAGGAAGGGCTGCTGGGCGGGGCCCGCTGTGTGGAGTTGTCTGTCTCTGATTGGGCCCCGCTCTCGAGGAGGCGGGCCTTCGGATCTACTCCTCGGGCCCCGAGAGGGAGCGGTGTGTGTGCGCTGGGTTCCGATCGCTTCCGGGTCACAGATTGAGGCTGTTTGCGTGTCCCGCCTCTACGGGCAAAGCGGGTCGGTGATTGGCAGCGTGGCGAGGATCGGTTCCGGGTGAGGCTGGCCCCCCTAGGAGGAAGATGGAGGCAGCGGCCGCTCTCCCCTCAGGGCGGCTCCTGTTGCTGGTGCTAGTCGGGCTGGGCCTGGCCCAGGCGGACGGGGGGCCCCGCACCCTGGTGCTGCTGGAGAACATCAACCTGCGGGACACGCACTCGCTCTTCCTCCGGAGCCTGGCGGGTGAGGGCGGCGGAGCCCGGGGTCCGGGCGGGGCGAGGGGAGAAGCGGGGGGGGGGGCATGGTCTGGGGGAGGGCGATGGGGGGAGCGGCCAGGCCCAGGAGGAGCCTGGGTCTGTCCCGGTGCAGCCTCCCGGCCCCACTTAGGGGTGCGCCTGCCTGGGGTGGCTGAGGGGGTCGGAGTCCTCTCGCGGGCTGGTTCTCCCCGGGTGCCACGCGGCCCCCGTATCCTCCACACAGCGGCGGCGGGGCTTGGTCACTAGGAAGTGTCACGCGGGTCAGTGAGGACGCGTGGGGGAAATGCTCCCTTGCTCTGTACCTGGGCTGCTGCTTGTCTCTCTTCTGGAGAGCGTCACGTTTGTTAGACTCACGTCTCCCGTTACTGGCTGCAGCCCCTGCTGCCCAGATCTCACTAGAGCATTTGCTTCTTTCCTCTCTGGTCTTCGCGTCATCCACAAGCTTTATCACGGCTTGATTCACATCAAAGACGTGCATGAAAATGCTATTGAGAGCGCCGAGGTTCTTGTTTGTTTTTAATTTGGGTTGTCCAAAAAGTCCCTGTGTCCCCTGAGCACTGTGGATTAGATTGTAAGTACCAGGAAGTGTCACTGCTTGGAGACTGACAGGAACAATTCTGCAGACAGTGCTCACCGGAGTACTGAGGAAATAAGTGTATTGTGGAAGAGTAACATGCTTGATTTATATTTTTATGTAGCAATTTAAAAAGTATCCCAAGGAGTCTGGTGGCACCTTAACGACTAACAGATTTATTTGGGCATAAGCTTTTGTGGGTAAAAAACCCACTTCTTCAGATGAATGACACCTTAAAAAGTATGGCAACTAGATGCTTAGATTGTAATGGGTAAGACTGAGTTAAGGGCCCTCTTATCTCATTTTCTAGCATGACCTGTCTTACACTTTTTTTAAATTAAAGTTGTGTCAAAGTATTCATGGCTATGATCTTTGTTTTCTGGGTGCAGATAGAGGCTTTGACCTCACCTTCAGGACTGCTGATGACCCTGGCCTGTCCCTCATAAAATATGGAGAATTTCTGTATGACAACTTGATTATTTTCTCCCCATCTGTAGAAGGTAAGAGATCCTTTTGCATAAAGGAAAAGACCCAGAAATTAAGTTGTGTAATACTCTGAGGCCCTTGGAGAAGACACACTAGATCTGTAAAGTGCCTTGCAGATATTAGCTAACCTTCACAACACCCCTTTGAGGCTGGTCTTTTACTGTTCCAGTTTTCCAGACAGGGAGGCAAGAGACTTACCCAGGGTGAAACAATGAGTGGTGGCAGAGCTAGGCCTCGTCCGGACTCCCAGTCTCCTGCTCTAACCATGAGAACGCTTTTCTTCAGTTTGATACAACTGATCAACGTATTCTTCTGACTTGCTTCATTTTGACCTTGAGGTGGCTTTTGGGGCCTGTCCCTGAGATGTAGACTTACAGATGTCAAGTATCAGAGGGGTAGCCGTGTTAGTCTGAATCTGTAAAAAGCAACAGAGGGTCCTGTGGCACCTTTAAGACTAACAGAAGTATTGGGAGCATAGGCTTTCGTGGGTAAGAACCTCACAATACTTCTGTTAGTCTTAAAGGTGCCACAGGACCCTCTGAGACTTACAGGTGTTATCTTCACTCATCATTGGGCAAACTGTGGCAGGAGCTGTATGCATTCTAAGCAGTTAAATGGTCATCAGGCTGCTTCTAAAAAGGTGGGGAGGGGCAGAAGCCTGTAGAACAAAGAATAAGCACAAAAATATAGCTGATTGCTTTGGACCTGCAATAGCAGCCACTGTTGGGTATCGATTTTCTGTAAACACCATTTCATTACCATTGTTTGCTGTGATAGTAACTGTTATGTCTGTTAATGATTCTCAGCCCACTTTATAATCCCTGTGTTGTATCTAGAATTGTGGTATTGTGATTCAGTAAAAAAAAAAATGTATTTAATATGTATTTTTGGAGCAGTGCTTCCATAGATTAACAAATGCACTGTTCTAAAATTCTGTAACTAAAAGATGGAATAACACTGTCATTATTTAAAATGCCTTGATTTTAAGTGTAGTAGTAGTAATTGTTCTAATTCACACCAAAATATCTGGATTCTCTCTTTACCACTATTAACAGCCTGAATCAGACTTGATGAGGGATTATTAATAGCAACCTTTTTGAAATACATCCCTTCAAGAAAGTGAGAGATCAGGTGATATTGGTGTGATGAGAGCCAAGAAAGACCTTCCAAAAGGAACACTCGGTTAGCAAGAATGGAGAGCTAGCTGATTGTGTGTGAATGAAACTGAATAGTATAATCTATAGCCCCAGGTTATAGCACACTTAACTTCAGGTGAGCCTCAGAGAATGTGTCAGGTAATTTAATTTTGAACATTACTACTAGGACTGTGATATTGGAATCAGATCCTTATGAGAACTAACTACAGAGCTGTGCAAGAAGAAGCTAATGACTCATGATATGTAGGAACCCGTTTTAAACTACTTCAGAACTAAATTTTAGAGTGTGGCATACAGTGTCTTCCTCATGACCTGTTCTTAACCTCTGACTTACTCCACTTCTGTCCTTCTCTCGGTGTTCTGTTTTCTCTTTCACTTCCTTAATTAAGATATTGTAGAGTAAAGTTTTGGCTGTATCTCTTTCAACTTGCAGAGATGCATGTTTCTCTAAATTCATTTGCTTTCTCTTTATATATTGGTTATTGTTGCTATACTGAAGTTTAATTAAATTTGATTTTGTTAGAGAATGGAATGAGTGAGGTATTCCTCCTCATTTTCCCAGGAATGCTTGCACTGGTGCCAGTTGTAATTCAACTTCTACAAGAAGGAATAATTAATATTTCCTCTTGTTGACAGATATCTCTCTCCCAATCTCAATGCAGAGGTCTCTCGCTATCTTTAAAATGTTGAATTTCTACCTGCAAACAGATAAGAATTGTATCTTGGGGTGGGGTGAGGAAGAAGCAAATCAACTACATGTAACCAAAAGAAAAGTATGTCTTTAAATGTGCCCAAACAAATAATAATAAAAAATTCATTGGCTATTTCTCTGCAACTGAGCTTGAATGGATAGTTCTATGCCTTTTAAAGGCTGGATTTTATGGCTTTGTCTTCCTTCTGAAGGAATTAATCCTCCCATAATCGGACCCTTTAATCTATGTTGGCCATAGGTGTATGTGGCTTCCGGATCCTGCTTGGGCACCTCCTGTGCCTATCACTCCAACACAGCTTCTCTATTAATTTGCCTCTCCTCCCTTGTATTTCCCTCTCCACCCTTGCTCCAAAGCACTGATAAAATAGTTTGCTGTCAGCGTTTTAAATCAGTAATGTCTGGTGCATCTTTTCAGATTTTGGCGGAAACATCAATGTGGAGACAATTACTGCTTTCATCGATGGAGGCGGAAGTGTCCTTGTGGCTGCCAGTTCTGACATTGGTCAGTAAAACCTGCATGCTAAACAAATGGGCGTAAATGTTGGCTTTTCATTTTATAGCTGCGTAATAAGAGTTTGCTGGATATAGAGAGCACAGATCAGTCCTGTAGGGGAAGGTGTCTTCCTTGTCATGGGAACTCTTAGAATTCTGGCTGCAACCTTTTTTAAAGGGGAACTTCAAAAGCTAAAACTATACAGCACTCTCTGCATTCAAAACATGCTACAAACCTTCATCCTCACAATGCTCCAAGGGAATTGGTGGTAAAGAATAAAGGAATGCCTTACTTTCACTTTCCAAAGAAAGTTGAGTTCAGCCAAGGGTTGTGTACTGAGTGCACCCAGCAGCCTGGTTAGCAGGACATTAGCACATAAATCGGGGCTGTCCTTCGTTTTTATTTTGATTTTTAGTTGCTTTTGTGTCTTGTACGTACTGTAAATTGGGAATCCACTTCTCTGTCTTTTTAGGTGATCCTCTGCGAGAGCTGGGCAGTGAGTGTGGAATAGAGTTTGATGAGGAAAGGACAGCAGTCATTGACCATCACAACTATGATATCTCAGACCCAGGCCAGGTAAAAGTCTAGACACTGAATTCTTTGGGTCTGTCCAGGGCTTGAGGAAACATGTCTTAGCTAGTACATAGCTTCTGGGAAGGGTTCTTTTTTTTGTTTAAAGCAGTTGGCTGGAAGGGCTGGAGACAAATCTTGTCTGTCTTCTTCCTTTTTCTCTTCTTTCCCCTCTTACCCATGCTCATTCCAAAGATTATTTTGAGTAGCAGCTGTGAATCTTATTGAATGACATGCTGCTTTTATTATTGCTCTTCTCTTTAATATGAGATTGCAATTTATCATGCACCTTTGATCTATGCCTAGACAACTTCTAACATTCCAGTCACACTGAGCAGTTAAAAACACCACCTGGAATAGTCAGGGGTTCACTGTATTGGGTCTTGAACCCCCCGGGGGGGGGTAGGAGATAGGAATTCCCCCTTTCTAGTGAAATATTTTATTTCTTTCTATTCATGATGGGTCAGGAGATAGAATGTCATGCTTAATAGCCAAAAGGTAAACTCTAGCTCAAGACACGAGGACAAAGAGAGATCAATATAGAAAACTCTGTAGGAGTTTGTCAAATGTATGTGATACCTTGATTTTTCTGTCCTTGCATGGTCCATCTGGTTGGATGCATGGTTCTGAAATATCTGTCTTTACAGGAGAGTTACAAGATATCCCAATAATGTCTGAGAGTTAAGAACATTGTAACATAGCTTTTCTGTAAAATACGTGGGGCACACACAATCCCCGATGGATGGGGGAATCACCATTGCTTTGGGATGCCTATGTATCTTATTAGCAGTGCAGATTTTGAAAACTTTCCTTTTCTACTGTACCATCTTGTGCTCGCTATCAAACCAATCTTACAGAACTTATAGTAGGACTTGGAGATTCATAATTTGTAGCTAGATACGAGTTCTTCCCAGCCAGTAGATAGTTGAAGGCCTATCCAATATCATAACAGGGGTTTTCAACCTTTTTTCATTGCAGACCCCTACAAAATTTCAAGTGGAGGTGCGGACCCCTTTGGAAATTTTAGACTTAGTCTGCAGACCCCAGGTTGAAAACCACTGTTCTATAGTAACAACAGCCTTTCGTGCACCCCTTAGACATAGTCTAAGGTTGAAAACCACTGCTCTATAGGTTCATGAGGCCTTTGATTTCATTGTGGTGCTGTTATTTAGACTCTCTTAATATGCTTAGTTCTTGGATTGGTACCTCTTCTAGTATGTTGTAATAGCTGAATACTTCCTGGTTTAAACAAATTCTTTCCGTGGAAAAATGTAACTAAAACTCAGTACAATAAGCACAGTAACTACCCCTCTGGATACACAACTGTCCCTCAGAGAGGATTCTTCTGAGTGACTATAAGTTACATCACTATTTAATTATGGCAGCTCCTGACAACACACTGCAAAGCTGTAAGCTTATTATTCCTTACTTAAGAACATCTTGTGTCCTAGAGCAAGGCCCTGCAGGCCAAGAGGAACCAAACTGCTCTAGGATGGGCTGTGTAAGTGTCACGGACTGAGGCTTTAGGCAGCAGCTGTCCCCCAGTATCTTCTGGCACTTTGAAATGCAGATCCTTCCATGTTGTACTTCAGGGGTAGGCAACCTATGACACGCGTGCCGAAGGCGGCACGCCAGCTGATTTTCAGTGGCACTCAGTGCCTGGCCATCAGTCTGGGAGGCTCTGCATTTTAATTTAATTTTAAATGAAGCTTCTTAAACATACAACAATAGTTTAGTTATATATTATAGACTTACAGAAAGAGACCTTCTAAAAACGTTAAAATGTATTACTGGCCCTTGAAACCTTAAATCAGAGTGAATAAATGAAGACTCGGCACACCACTTCTGAAAGGTTGCTGACCCCTGTTGTACTTTCTTGACATGCTTTTTCTGATATGCTGAAATCCCTTCTACAGTGTTCACATTAGCTTGTGGCAGCAATCAGAACAAATAGGAACTAATAAACACATGTTCCTGCAAGAGATCTGCATCTGTCGCCCTGGGATTTACCTTCCTTCTGATTTAAGCTTCCTAATACGCAACTCACAAGAAACTGTCACAAGAGAAAACCTGCTCTAAACTGTAACCAGCAGGGGCTGTTCCCTGTTCCCTGAGGGCTTCTAAGCATGTGCCCGGTTTCTTCTCCTGCTCTTACCTCCTCCATCCCCTTGCCCCATGTTACAATTCTTCTTCCTGCCAAGAGGCCAGGTGAGACTCTGCACAGACAATTAACGCTACTTCAGAGTTCTGGAAGGGTACCTGTAGAACATGAGGTGCCGTGTTGTGCAGATCACTAGCCATAGAGTGGCAAGCAGACACGCATGTTAACAAGTTGCCGGTGCATTAATTACATTGTTCAGTAGCTTGTGAAAGCTTACCACAGGTCTCTTGTTTCCTCCCTGAAGCACACGCTCATTGTCGCAGACTCTGAAAATCTACTGAAGGCTCCCACCATTGTGGGGAAAACGCCATTAAACCCTGTTCTCTTCCGAGGAGTTGGGTAAGTGAACTACGAGGCAAGGCTGGCAGTGGGGCTGTAACTGAGAACAAGAGGTCTCTGATTGGATGGGTTTCTTGCCACTATCTTCCCTCCAGATAGGTTATAAGCCTAGGGCTGGGGTAGGCACTATTATAAACAAAGCATCCTCGGTTGGTTTTTGGTTTCTTCAGTTGAGATGCAACAGGCATTTGGTCCTTTAACAGGATGGAATTGCGGGGGGAGGGCGGCTGAGGGCAGGCAAGAAAGGCACAGACTTCATGCTGGTTAGGTAATCAAAGGCTATTCCTTATCTCTCAATCTAGTTATAAACTTCCTTGAAACAGAAAACTTTTAATACAGTAACTCCTCACTTAAAGTTGTCCTGGTTAACGTTGTTTTGTTGTTACGTTGCTGATCAATTAGGGAACATGCTCGTTTAAAGTTGTGTAATGCTCGTCGTTTGGCAGCCGCCTGCTTTGTCTACTGCTTGCAGGAAGAGCAGCCCGTTGCAGCTAGCTGGTGGGGGCTTGGAACCAGGGTGGACCGGCAGCCCCCTATCAGCTCCCCGCTCCCCTAAGTTCCCTGTGCAGCAGCTGCCTGCAGTTCAGCTGTGTCCCTCCCCCCACTGCCATGTGCTGCTCCTGTCCTCTGCCTTGGAGCTGCCCCTCGAGACTCCTGCTTGCTGTGCCGGGGGGGGGGGGGGGGGGGGGGG